ACATGGATCCCCAGCTCTGGCTAGACCCATTCAACGAGGCCAGATAAATTGAGTGGGAGACTTTGTCAAGGCCCTGTGAGTTAGCGCAAACGGAAGTGATTGGATAGGGGCGGCCTGCGGGAGAAAGAGCCGAGGGTGGCTGGTCGGAGTCTTGAATTGGACATTAAGAATGGGGGATCTTCATTCAAAAAACATAAAATTGAAACAAAATTGTGGTTGACGGTTCATGATCCCCCCACTAGATGCAATGGAGAAGGAGTTCAACGTTTTCCTAGAACCGCCGGTGCCAACAACTGAGGATTGGCAATGGACTTGCATCCTTTTTGGAGTGTGTGGTCAGGCGAATAACCCAATTGGGTTTCCTTTTCAATCCCTAAAAGGGATTTCTTTGATGAAGGTTCATTCGTCGGAACAGCCTCTGCCGGATGTTGAGACATCGGAAACAGGGCTGACGTTAGTGACGAACCAACAGAGAGCTCTGGGGGATTCTTCCGGGACGAGTGGCCGGTCGTCGACTACTGTTGGAGAAGTTCCCGATGACAGAGTCCAGAACGAGAACGACAAGCTTTATTCGTTTCTCTCTCCTCGTTTCCTACTCCGAGTTTGCAAGTAGGGATGGCAATGGGGCGGGTTTGGGGCGGGTTTGCCTAAACCATCCCCATCCCATCTTCAAATACCCAAATCCATACCCGCCCCATACCCATGCGGGGGAATGTTTTGCAAACCCATCCCCATACCCGTGGATTTCGGGTACCCATGGGTAATACCCATCCCCGCACATCCAACATTATTATACCTAAAACTTACAAGAAAAGTTTTAATTATAACCATAAACAAACCTATTATATCACGAAGTCAACAAAACACGGTCATTTTCTAAATACGATTCAAAGAATATGATCCTAAAACATCCATTAATACATAATATAGACTATAATATTTTTTAAATTATTATGCTCTAGCTCTTGATACATTTACTAAGTAATAATTAAGTAACATAATTTTGTTGACGAGGGGGAAAGTGAAAGAGTGGAAGGAGAATTGAGGGAAATGAATTAGGTTTTGATTAAGGTGGTTACTCAATTGCATTTCTACTATTTATTTTCTCGAGTTATCATCATCATCATTGATAGATTACAATTTAATCCACGTATTTTTTCATATGTGAAGAAATTCTCTTGGTGGGGCGGGTATGGGTATGGGTATGGGGCGGGGGAGGCTAAAACCATACCCGCCCCATACCCATCAAACCTTTTGCGGGTTTTACCCATACCCGCCCCATACCCAGTCAAAGCGGGGATTCCCCGCGTTGACTGGGTATGGGGCGGTCGGGTACCCGCGGCCATGGGTTTGATTGCCATCCCTATTTGCAAGGGATACGACTCTATATTTTCAGAGAGAACATGGGTATCCGATTCCAATAGAAATCCTAGGATTCGGGATTATCCAATGCGTATCCAATTCATGTACGCATCTACTTTGGACCCTATAATCGGGCCTCCAAAGTTTATAAAACCCGGTGCGCTACTCCCAGATTTCTCATAACAAAAACTTATGGAGAATCTGGCAAAATAGCGGTGAAACAGATCGGGAATACTAATCAGCCAACTGTGATGTCTCGATTTTGGATTTAGGTTCAACATCAACTACCAGGAGAATTGGATCATCATGACAAGCCGAATTGACATTTTGTTTCACCATGTTTGAATCAAGCTGGGGGAGTAAAAAGGGCAGTGAGACACTTATGGTTACACGAGTGCTTTTTTTTTCCAAGAAATGTCAAGAGAGAAAAAACTATACAATCTACCCCAAAACCCTCCCAAACCAATACATCAGTGAAGCCACCCTACAAATACGAAGGAACCGATCTGAATAGAAGAAGTAACAGGGCTTACAGCGCCACTCTATGGGCAGCCCCGTTAGCAGTTCTAGGAACTGCCCTAAACTCTATGGAAACAGAAACTGAAGACAGGAATCGGAAGCAATCACGTAGCACCGGACCTCCGAGGGAACCTGAAGAACTGCCCTGGCGAAGCTGACGAATCACTACTTCCGAGTCACCTTCGATGATGACACAAGGAAGGGACTTGGAGACCAAGAGGGAGATAGCGTCTCGAGCTGCAAGAAGTTCTGCGAGGTAAGGATCAACAATGCCTGGGTGCTAGAACCCTACTGCCAACGCCACATGCCCGTCTGTTCCACTAACCACTAGTCCAGACGAGCAACTAGAAGCACGAATCGCAGCATCAAAGTGATCTTCAGAAAGCCAACAAATAAGGAGGTGAGGCGGGATCTTGAGGGATGACGGGGAGGGATGGGAACTGGAGGGTGAGAGGAAGAGACTATGCTGACTTGGAAAAAGCATTGACGAGCTAGAGACTGGGCATGAGGCAGATAATGCTAAAAAACCACCTTATTTCGAGACTTCCAGATTCTCCACAACACGCAAACATATAGGAGAACGTGGGTTTGGGGGTGCTTAGAAAGCATAACATGTCACCACCAGAGACTGAAATTCAAAGTCGGGACCGAGGTTTTATTAGCTGCGAGCTCTGTCCCACAAGCTTCAGCGAGCTGGGACTTATCATTTAAGAGCTCACTATAGATAGGTTGTTAATATTCCTCTCATCCCAAAACTAGGGAGGCTATTAAAAACCCTACAGGCCACTCAAAGGACGCTTCAATGTTCCTTTTGTTCACCATGCTTAGGCTTAGGACGTTATTAATGGGAAAATAAGTTACAAGCTCAATAATTGGCTTCTTAAACTCCTCTCCCACATTGAATTTTGATCCATGACATTATGACATTTTAGTATTCTTTTCATCTAAAACGTGAGACGTAAACCGACCATTAATGATTGTAAAGCATCATAAAGAGATATTTTTTCATCCCAAAATGAGAATTTAAACCGACTATTTAAAGTCGTAAAGTGCCATAAAGAGATCGCTTTAATGACTCATTTGTATCGTCTAATCGAAAACTTCCTGTCGACGAGGCCAATTGCCAGTAAGGGAGGCCTACTAGTTTTAGCGACAAGGACATGATTAATTGTAAATAAACTCATGAATGAGGATCGGCAAAAATCACCCGGTGAATATACATCTTTACTAGAGAAACTCGGAAAGTCCTCCCTCTCCGAATTAAGTGTCATGAACGTGAATAATGGCTAACTAAAGGACTCATTAGTATAATTACAAAATTTAATAATGTTTTTAATTTATTTAGGATAAATAAATGCCTTTAAACACCAAATAATGGCAGATCATTCTGCAATTAATCACTTGTAATGGTTCATCGGAGAGCAAAACTTGTCGTAGCCGTGGCTGCCGGAATTGGGGTTCCCTGACAATTGTTCGAACAACCGCAGAGGAGACCAAGTTAGATTAATCCATCATTTTACATATTCCTTCCTTCTGCAGAGTATCAAGAGCAGGAATGTGAATTTCCCTCTTAAAGTTTCAATTTGCACTATTTCAAACCTAAGCTACGTAAGCAGGGGAAGATAACAAGATAAACTTGCACTACAAGAAATTAGGTATTTTGTGACGCACCCAATTTGTCATTTTAGTGTGCCATTTTGTCACTTTTTGTCTAATGTGACAAGTGTTATGACAAAAAGGCTTTATCAGCTTTGCTCCGTCGTATTAGGTCTAATGTGACAAAGTTTAATTTTTCGGTTGTCATAATATTGTTCGGCCAACTTGACAATATATCGTTGTCATAATATGTTGTCCTACCATGACGAAAGATCTTGTCACATTAGACTGTTTATTTTGTCACACTTTAATACAACCAACTGACTAAACGAGATATTATGAGGGAACTGTTTGTCATTCACATTCGTCACTTTAAGCTGTAGGGCACGTGCCCTTAGAAATCACATATGATAAAATAATTTTGTCATATTTTATGTATTCAGTGACGGTCCAGTTTGTCATAATATGGATATGCTTTGTCGTAATACCATTTATCTGACAATATATATGTCAGGATACTGAATTGTTTGTCATATTTAAAACATAAACTGATAATGGAACATTGTCATAATTTGTTCGTTCCTGTAAGCAGTAAATGTGACAAGCGAAATACACATAAAATATGTCATAAAACAAGCCGACAGTCACATTCATTTAGAAAACGCTGAATATTCAGGGTCCTAGCTCACAGCTTACAAAGACGCAAAATAGATAATATTCCTGCATCACATCACACACTCCTACATTCTGTTCGACACAACCATATTGTCCAAAATGGGTTTGCAGCCGAAAACTACTTATAAATAATTCCGTTCAGGAAAACATTCGCTAAGACGCAACCTCCTCAAGTCATATGAACACACGGTCGTGCAGGGATGCGTCCACACCTGCAATTGCAAATTGAGAAGAAGCTAGATTGAGACTTCACATTCGTGTATAATTGTTCCTAACAGATTGACTAAGTTCTATAGATGAAATTAATGCATTTAATAATAACTATGTACCTGGTGCAATCATTTTCTGCTGAGTTTGGCGAGGACGGTTTCCATACTCTTTTGCATCTTCTCTTGTGCCAAGCGCATTTGTTCCATCTTTTCCCCTTGGTTAGCCAAACGTTCATGTTGCAGATCAAGCTCTACTTTATGTTTTTCAATCTCCTCATCCCGAGCTTTAATCTTCTCATCCTGCTCTACCAGCTTGGCCTCCAACTCCTTGGTCTTACTTTCCGCCTCTGCCTTTGCTGCTGCCAGTTCTGCTTCCAGCTGAACTTCTTTTGCCGACTTCCTCACTGCTTCTTTAGGTCCATACTTGAGCTTCCTCTGCAAGACCTTCTGAACGATGTCACGACCCAGTAGTGGATTCCCATCTGCCTTTGCTTGGAGATGGAGGGCCAGCATCGCCTCCTATATTGCACCAAAATATAAGTCACCACCCAAATATACAGGCCACAACAAGATGCAAAGCAAAATAAAAGTCACACCACAGTAACAGGAGGCGCATAATAAACCAGACCACAGTAATAATTGTTCCCTCTTAATTCAATCAACCTATTACAATAACTATACATCGAATATCCATTCATGTTCGTGGACTAGGTACACAATATAAGAGGAGCAGAAGGGCTTACATAATTCGCTTTCGGTTCCTCGCTCACCCAAGTACCATCACTTGCCTTCTTGTGCGTGTTGGCATACAACTCAATGTCAACGGGCACCGCATCATCATCCTCAGTATCCTGGTCATCTACCTGCTCCGTTTGAGCTGCTTGTGCAGCCAGCTTCTTTTGCTCCTATACATGATAGTTCAAATGTTCAAACATGGTAAAGGTGTGGTAAGTGGCCTGTTTACCCCTAGTTTATGGTCATCTGTTCAAATTCAGATTTGTTGTTGTACAAAGATGTAAATAAAACTTAATGCTTTACCATTTCATACACTCTCTGGTCGTGGGATTTTGCCCCAGTAGTGTGAGCATACTGCTGCTTAGCCTTGTTTTGTATGTTATTTGTGCTCCGCCCCTGCAAACAGAAATGTGTGCTAAGCTCTCATCTTGTACAAGTGTCATCAAATATCCAAACACGGCAAGTTTTACCTTGAATCGATCACTCTCAAAGTGCTCACAGAGGGCCTCCCAGTCTTCCTGTTTCACTCCTTCTGGAGGGTTCAGACGAGCTTTGGTGGGGTCTTCCTGTTCCTTGTAGTGTTTATGACAGGTGTACTTGTAGTTCAAGAAGCGTTTGTGAAGTTTCTTATCTAAAGCCTTCCTCACCTCTTCAGTAGCTGAGGCAAATGCAAACTCGCTTTGTAATTTCATCAAATTCCATGCATTCAGACTATGCAATTGATAATTTTAAATTAACAAAGACAGATTACCGTACCTCTAGTTTCACAAACATAGGGTGTTTGTCTTCATCAGTCAACTCAGTCCAATAGTACTTCCTTATGGGAGCCATCATACGAGCAACGACACCAACTTCTGTGTTCAGCAACTTCTGGTTGGGGCCCACAATTGCGTGGCTGTTCTCCTGCAGGAATACTCCATCGATCCTACTCCCCCCAGTGGTTCGTGCCATCACTTGAACACCTTTGGTCAGCCCCCTCTTTCGGCCACCTATGGATGTAGGTCAAATTATAATCATCCAAAACACTAATAGAAATGTGATAATCCATGTTTCTCAAGTGACAAAAGAAAAGTTAGGATAACACGCACCTGTCTTCTCCGGTTGTTCATGCATGGATGTGGCAGTATTATCTGCATTCTCGTCAATCTCCTCAATAGGTTCAGTAGTCCTCCTTGGAACCCTCGGAGACACCCGCTCTTCACCCCTCGGAGAGACCGCTTCAGCTCTCGGAGACCCCCCTTCAGCCCTCGGAGACCTCCCTCCATCCCTCAGAGACACCCCTTCACCCCTCTTAGACCTCCCTTTACCCCTCGGAGACCTGCATTTTTGCATCGGAGACCTCAGTGGACCCATGCACGAGCTCCCTGCATTCTCTACACTCCTCGCTGGATGGGATCTGGTCACTCGTTCACAGACCGTCATCGGCTGCTTCCCAGTCCTGGCTTTCTTTTCAGGCCTCGGTGGCATTTCTGCTGACAGTCCAAACAGAGTTAAACCATCAGCAAATTCACAAACACTTATAAACGTATAAACTCAATAAAGATGTAGAGTAATTAAATGCACAGTCCAAACAGAGTTAAACCATCAGCAAATTCACAAACTTATAAACGTATAAACTCAACAAAGATGTAGAGTAATTAAATGCAGAGTTTATTAACCCAAATTTCACATACTTTGTAAAACAATATAATTAAATGCAAACTCAAATCCTTCTGTACTTGGTTTAAGGGGGGAATGAGTATTTTGTCTTGCACTCGCTACTTGTCATATTCATCGTCACTGTCGATTTCCTCCAAAGGGTTAGCAGCTGCGGCTCCCTCCAAAACATCATCGAAATCAGCTAATGTGTCGTCCTCTTCGACCTCCATTGTATCCTCTGTGTCGAGTAAAACAACCCTTTTTTTAATAACGCTCTCACTGACCATTGTGGGAGCCTCGTTTGCACGATTCAGGTCTTCCAACTCCGTGTCCTGCACTTGAATCACATTGCCAACACCACTCTCTTCTTGCTGAAACGTCTCACTTGCATACACAGGATCATTTATTTCCCCTTCCTCCTTCTCAGGAACATCATACACGTGTCGGGGAGTAACCTTGATGACAATATGCCAAGCACCACCATTCTTTATATCAGGTATATAAAATACCTGATTCGCTTGACCAGCCAATATATATGGCTCATTTTGATACCATTTTCTACACATATTAACACTAGTAATGAACCCATCTTCTCGTATCCCATGTCTGCCATCTCCTACATTCCACCAATCGCATTTGAAGACAAAAACGCGATTACCATAGAAGTAGGTAAGTTGATATATATCGACTAGCATCCCGTAGAAGTCAATATTCTCTCCATTATGAGCCCCTTCCACAAATAAACCGCTGTTCTGAGTCCTATGGGTTTGTTTTGGGTCAAACACTTGGTAACGAACACCATTAAAGAGGATGCCGTTGTACCTAGTGACGCGTGTGTCTGCCCCTAACCCTAAAACATGTAAATGGTCTCGCGCTTTAAGGGTAACAGCCAAACACAATTCTGTAACCTAGCCAGTCAGTGAAGTAGTGAACAGAACAAAAAAGTTAGCTCTAAGGGATTAGCAAGGAAATCAGTCATTATAATGAAACAAAAAAGTTAAATCAGTCATCCACCATAACTTACATGTTGCTTCAACCAAGACGGAAAGTTAGCTTTAAGGGATTTATAGGAAATGTTAGGATTCTCTTTAACCTTCTCATCTTTATGCATGCTGTGCAGTGATAAGAATTAGATTGTCGGGGAGTAAAGATGTGTAAAAGAAAACGTTGCATTTACTAGTCAAAGTTATACTGTAGTTACTTGATAATGTCTTCAATTTCATCGCAATTATTAAGTATATACCATTGAATTTGCTCAAATTCTTCTACTGAAATTGGGTCATAACGAGTAGCTCCTAGTGTTCTACCTTGTTGGGTAAAAACAAGAAAGCCCTCAGACTCAACACCTTCAAACCCGTCATCATTACGGTTAGGACGAGAAGACCTTGTTTCAAACCCTTCCAAGTATCTAGAACAAAAATCGAAGCACTCTTTTGCAATATATCTTTCAGCAATGGACCCCTCAGGGTTAGCCCTATTTCGAACAAAACTTTTAAGGGTACCAAGAAACCTAAGTACACAAAAAAAACAGCCCATAAAATAAGGTTAAGGACATTGTGGGTTAACAAATTAGAGTATGGTGTGAACGAAAAAGTAAAGGAAAAAGGCTACCTTTCCATGGGATACATCCACCTATACTGTACCGGTCCACCAAGTTCTACCTCATGGGGTAGATGAACGGGAAGGTGCATCATAACCACGAAAAAAGATGGAGGGTATAACATCTCAAGCTTACACAAAATTAGAGGTATGTTGTGGTCCAAATTTTTTACAGTGGCTTTGGATATTGTTTTGGAACACAACTCTCTGACAAAACCACTCAACTCAGCCAAAATAGTGTAAACTTCTTTTGTGAAGAAACCATTAGCAACAGTAGGCAGCAATCGTTGTATAAATACATGGTGATCGTGGCTTTTAAACCCTGTCACCGACTTACCATCAGTAGTCACACACCGGGATATGTTTGATGCATAAGCATCGGGAAATTTTACAGATTTCAACCAGTCACAGAATTCCCTACGTTGCAGCGCTGTTAGTGTGTATAAGGCTTGTGGCATCTTAAACCTATCACCAACAGGAATTAAATGTAATTCCTTCCTAATGCCCATCTGTTTTAAATCCATGCGAGCATTTGGCGTATCCTTTGTTTTCCCATCAATGCTCATCATCGTCCCTATAACATTGTCACTAATGTTCTTCTCCACATGCATGACATCTATGTTATGTCGCAAGTCAATAGACTTCCAGTATGGCAAAGTCCAAAAGGAAGATCTTGTTTTCCAATTGAACTTGTCCTCTGCAGCACTCCTTTTCCGTTTCCCACCATCATGAACAGAAACATCCCCACTGAACGCAGCTTCAACCTGTTGCAGTATCTCTTCCCCTGATAATTGCATAGGTTTGTTTCTGTGTTCTGGCTTCCCATTGAACTTCTTACTCCTCCTCCAACGATGATCTTTGTCCAACCACCTTTGATGCCCCATGTAGCACTCCTTGCTTCCATATTCCAAACGTTGAGAACAAGTCTCAATGTTGCACACTGGGCAGGCCAGTTTACCCCTAGTGCTCCACCCAGAAAGCATGGCATATGCAGGGAAATCATTGATGGTCCACAGCAATGCAGCACGCAATTGAAAAGATTCATTTGCATGAGCATCATATGTAAGAACCCCATCATGACACAACTCATTCAACTGTTCTGTAACGGGTTCTAGATAGACATGAATGTTATTCCCGGGGTATTCGGGACCAGGAATCAGGACACTAAGGAAAAAAAAGGGTCGATCATACATAACCAAGGAGGTAAGTTGTATGGGGTTAAGACAACAGGCCACATACTGTAGCTGTTGCTCATGTTACCGAATGGGTTAAACCCATCACTAAGCAGCGCTAGTCTGACATTCTTGGGATCCGCAGCAAACCAAGGGTGATCCCGATCGAAATCCTTCCACGTTTTACCATCAGTTGGATGCCTAAGCATATCATCATCAACGCATTTATCCTTGTGCCACCGCATATCTTTTGCTAGATCTTTGGTAGTGAACAACCGCTGCAACCTATCCTTAATGGGGAAATATCTAGCTCTCTTTAAGGCAACATCTTTCTGATTACCAGATTTAAACCTAGGTTCTTTACATTTTGGACATTCTCGAGCAGCTTCAAGCTGCCCCCTATACAGAACACAGTTATTGGGACATGCATCGATGATGGTGTAACCAAATCCAAGATCACGCATATACTTCTTCACCTCATAGAACGAAGTGGGAAGTGTTTCCCCATTCGGTAAACCTTCCTTGATTAATTCAAGATATTGGTTGAATGCTTTATCACTACTGTTTGTCTGTATCTTGATGTTCATCATTTTCATAACATAGGACAATTTTGAAATTTTTTTGCAATCAGGGTAAACAGGGAAATTGGCATCTTTCAGGAGCCTTGCCAATGCACCATTATTATTAGGACCGTGGGAAGGTTCAGCGGTTGTTAGACACTCATTCGCCCTACCAAAATCACCCAACATTTCAGACATGTCGGTCTGTAACCCACTCTCTTCATTATGAACATCGTCAGACTCAGTCGGTGGGTTTTCACCGTTACTACTAACAACATAAGACTCACCATGATGGACCCACGTTTTATATGTCTCGACCATACCATGCTTAAATATGTCTCCCCGCACCTGGACTAATGTCTTAAAGTAGAGATTATTGCAGTTCTTGCATGGACATCTAACCCTACCAATTGCATCAACATGCTTAGAAGCAACTTCCATGAACTCATTAACACCCAACTCATAATCAGCACACCAATGATCTTTGAGCAATATCCACTCACGACTCATTACGCGTTAAGGTATAACTGACCTTTGATTGCAGTCTGTAACTTGCCGCAGCAGGTTGTAATCGACCAAAGAGACAAATAACCTGCATGTAGCATTAAACTTTGAAATCAGTTCAAAGTAGCTCAAATCTAGTAAACAAATTATTCTTTTTTGAACTTAGAAAGGAGATAAACAGTACACCAGAGAGATAGTCATCTTAGTTAAACCCAAACAGCATGCTGCTTCAAATCATACGCGTTTCAGAATCAACCATATCAAGGGAAGTCATCAGAATTACTAATTCAACATCTAGGTAGCTGAGGTTATCATCAGAAGGACTAATCTTTTCAATCATGTTTCAGTCATCTTAGTTAAACCCAAACAGCATGGCACATTGGCATTTCAGAAACAAAAACCATCCCTATCAAAAACCACTTTTCACAAATGTCGCCTTCATCCAAATCCATTGCATCAAATTCACTCATCTCGCGTACCAGATACAAAAATTTCCTAACAGCTATCTATGTAAGCCAATCCATACACTGGGCTTACACAAAATCGAAGGCCAGACTTACTCGGTTTATCGACGGAGGGAACTCGCGGCAGAGAAGGCAGGCCGTCGAAGCAAAGGAGGGCAACTTGGTTAATCGGAGACTGTTGATTTAGAGGGAAAGCCCTACCCCCTGTGCAAGAGCGCCTATGAACGACAGAGATAGAAGAAGAAACATGAGGAACCCAACTCTGCTTTTATCGGAATCAGGTATCCACCATGCAAATCAAAACCAAAATCGCAGAGGAAAAGGAGTCCAGGGCGAGGAGACGAACGAGACTTACCGGACAATCGATTCGCGGGGAGGAGAACGTACCCAGACGAATCGCTGAAGAGGATGTGGGGAGAGGGGTTTCGACTTTGCAATTCGCAGTGGAGATGGAATTGTGGTTTCTGTTCTTGGAGCTTAAGGGTTAGAGAGGCGGGTTGGGGTTTTTTTCGTCTTGGAGGGAAGGGGAATAATAGTCCCGCCGAATGGAATTCTGGACGAAAAATAGAAATTCTAAAAAAATATATTAATGAAAAAGTTTATTTCATTCTGCACACCATATTATGACAAATTATATTATCATATCTTAGGATTTCTTGAACATAATGTGACAAACCATAAGGTGACGGGGTGTTTTGTCATTCTGTAGCAGTATTTGCGCGGTAAATAAGACATATAGTGACAAAATTATAATGACAACAAAAACTTTGTCACAATGTAACTCTATTATGACAACTTTGAATGAAAAATATAACTTTTGTCACATATAGTCAATTAAATGTGACAAGTCTTTTTTTTGTCATATTTAGTTGCCTAATATGACAAATATTTTATGACAACAAAATTAATTTGTCATTTAAGGTCAAATTTCTTGTAGTGTTGTATTCAAACCACTCTCCAGAGTAGTATAGCTTCAAAGAGGGAAGCTTATCCGATCAAAGAAGGATCAGAATCACCGGCCACAGGCCGTATCGACAAGAACTGTCGTTCTTATTATATTTACTCAACTTTTCAGGTGCGAAAACAATCTGTTCAATCTGCACACAATAAACTCAATTTGCCATAAGGGTAACAGAAGAAATCGCCACTGAGGCGAATCCTCGATCTTAGAAGACAGATCCACAATCATGAACCGAGTTAACCCAACCCTAGAAAAATCAGGAGACAGGGAAGGAAAGAAATCAAAATCAAATCCCAGAAATTCGATACCTTTGATGAAATAATCCGAGGAAGGTCAGCCGCGGACGGAGGTAACGGAGCGAGATTCCTCTTCGGTCAAGGGATTCGCAAGCTTCTCGACGAGCTGGGCAATCCCCAAGCAGCCGACGTCATATCTATGTGGAGGGACCCAGTAGGAAGTCCCCGGAAGGAAAGGGAGGCAATCAGGGGCGGCGCGGCGGACGATGATGTGGTGGATGGTGTCCTCGAGCTTTCTGAGGAGAGGATCGGTGGATTCATCGGCGACCGCGGGCTTGGTAGATACCCAATCAGAAAGACTCACCAGTAGAAATGGAGCTCAGAGTTCAGAAGATGATACACCCACAGTAGACCACATGACCACTCCGAGAGATGCATAGCCATGCTTTGTCTTTTAGTTTCCTTTAGTTCTTTGATTGCGATTATGATGAAACCCCAAAAATCTGATAGCCATGACCTTAGAACAACCAAAAAAGGGAGAAGGAAACAAGGAGGTGAGGGCCATAATTTTTATTCTGTTTCCTAGTCTACAGGGAAACTTATTCGAGAAAAAGGTACCAACGAAGTTATTATAGTAAGAATAGATGATCGTGGGAGGGAAGTATAAGAAGGGTGTTGATAGAAGGATGAGTTCCGAGCAAATTTCGGGGACGAAATTTTTATAAGGGTGGAGGAAATGTAACACTCCGACTTTTAAGTTTAGGTTCGACCTTAATACGTGATCAGTTGGGTTGATAGTTGCGTACTAAAAGTTGCAATCGCGGATTAGTAATAATAATAATAATAATAATAATAATAATAATAATAATAATAATAACTATTATTATTTTATTATTATGGAAAAAATATATATATATAAAGCGGACCTGGGATCGAGCGGCCCTCTCTATTTTCCCCAAACCCTCTCTATTTCTCCCGACCCTCTCTGTAATCCTTTCCCCAAGCAAATAATAAACCCCCAGGGAGAAACCCCAAACCCGCCGCCTCTTCAATTATTTTCCCCAGAGACCGCCGTCGTCCCTGCTTCTCAAAGCGGACGCGGCGAGAGGAAAAGAAGAAGGAGTCGCAGCCGATCCTAATTTCGATCCCGACCCCAATCCGAATCTCATCCCTTTCGTGTTTCTAGGTAAGGATCACGAATCCCTTCGCGATTTTTAACTCAATTTATCGATAGTCTAATCCGAAGCTCGTATTTTATTAGCGGTGACGTTGAGGGTTCGATCAACAAGGAGACCAACATCCCAGGAAAAAATCCAACTGTACACATGTTCTTAAAAAAAATTCCCAAAATACATAAGTTATAATTTTTTTTCCAAAACTACACATGTTTGTCATTCACCGTTTTTGACAAAAGCAGTGAAGATTATCACCGGGTTTGACAAACACGGTGAATATTTCACCGTTTTAAACTAAAACAGTGAAGTATTCACCGTCTTTATCTAAAACGGTGATATATTCACCGCTTTAAACTAAAACGGTGAAGATATCACCGTTTTAGTTGAAAACGGTGAATACCTTCACCGTTCTAGGTTAAAACGGTGAGTATTTCACACGTTTCCAACCCCTGGTAGGTGAAAATTAGGTAACAGAGGTGTATGTTGAGACCGAGGCGGTCGGTGAATGACATGAGTGCTGGCGGGGTTGTGTAGCAAGAAGTTGTCCTAAACGATGATGACATGGTTACGATGATGTTACAGTTCCTAAGCGATAACGGGATGCGGCTAGCAGAGGTGTATGTTGAGACCGAGGCGGTCGGTGAAACTCATTCTCACCAGTATTCTTATGATGATGGTTTTGCAGGAGGGTACGGATGGGGTGGTAGTTCGAGCAACTACGAAGGAGGTGGTTATACAGGAGGTTATGGAGAGTGTGGTAGTTCAATCAACTACGGTGGAGGTAGTAGTGCAGGATGGGTGCCATCGGAAGAAAACTCACAACAGGATCAACCAGCCCCATTTGTTGAGGCTGATGGCGTTCAATGGCCTGCTTGGGGGCCGGAGTGGTCTGAAATCGAGAATACCATTCGATCAGGGCGTACTTCACATGAGCGAGAAGACGATCTTGGTGATGGTTGTCATGTTGATCCTTCTGGCCCCAGCTATCCATTTGACTCAAGCGACGAGGATACTGAGGAAGATTTGAGATCAGTGAGCGAGGAGGAAGATACTGATGATAACGACGACGAGGCGATATTTCGTGAGGCACCCACGCCATATTACACACAGGTTCCAACTCAATTTCTACATAGTCATAATGATGCCCCCGACTTTGTCCCTATGCTAGTGTATAATCCGACGGCCAATTTGGAGGTGGGTATGACGTTCTCATCGAAGGACGATGTGCAGGATGCCTTTACCGAAGAGGCCTTGATGCGCAATTTCGAGTGGAAGGTAAAATATTCTGACAGTAAACAATTACATGTCATATGCAGGAATGATGCGGAGGGCTGTACGTGACAACTGCGGGCTGCAAATATGAAGAGAAAGGGTGCCTAGGTGATTCGAAAAGCCGAGACCAACCACACTTGCTCCTCGTCCATACGTTCCAAGGATCACTGGCAACTTAAAGAAAAGAAAATTGGGAGAACTATTAAACACCTTATCGAAGCACAACCAGATATCAAGGTCAAAGCTATCATGGCCGAGGTGAATGATCGACATTTTTACACGATAAGGTACAAAAAAGCATGGCATGGAAGGCAGAAAGCCATGGCTGAGGTGTATGGTGATTGGGAGGATTCGTATGCTTTACTCCCTAGACTTATGGCCGCAATGGAGGAGTCCAACCCTGTGACTGTTTTCGTGACAGTATACAACAATGTATACACTGAGGATCAAGTTCGAGTACAGGAGAAGTTGATGTTTCACCATATTTTTTAGGCTTTCAAACCATGCATTGACGGATTTGCGTTCTGCATACCGGTTATTCAGGTATTTTAATACATGTTTACTATTTAAAATGTTTCTATTCTTGCAAACCAAGTAAATTTGATACTAATTACTTCCTAATATTTAATTAGGTTGATGGAACCTTCCTCACTGGGAAGTACAGAGGAACTCTTCTCATTGCCACTGCGTTGATGGAAACAGGCGGATTTTCCCGCTTGCATTTGCAATAGTGGAAGGGGAGAACAACTTAAGTTGGGCATGGTTCTTTGACCAACTACACGAACATGTGACACAGGGGGTATGGATCCCAAATAACCTATATTCATTCAAATAATGCAATTAGCGACAATTTACATTGAAAAACCTTAACTTGTTAAAATATGATAGAACATGATTACCTGATTCCACCAAGACTTATCTAACTCAAAACGATAAAACAGTAACGAATGCTCAGGTTGATGGTCATTCGTATTTGCTCCTATCCACCTTGTAAGTAAAACTATGGAATAAATTTAAATTAGGCTACGTACAGATTAAATCCAATTTAAATCTAGCTAAGCATGGAATAATTTTAAATTAGGCTAAGTACGGAATAAATTGAATTTAAATCAAGCTAAGCATGGAATAATTGTAAATTAGGCTAAGTACGGAATAAATTCAATTTAAATCTACCTAAGCATGGAATAAATTTAAATTAGGCTAAGTACGGAATAATTTCAATTTAAATCTAGCTAAGCATGGAGTAAATTTAAATTAGGCTAAGTACGAAATAAATTCAATTTAAATCTAGCTAAGCATGGAATAATTTTAAATTAGGCTAAGTACGGAATAAACTTACTTGATACCGTAAGGGGGATTTTGCAGAAAGTTTAGCTCATCATCGGCTCTCCGGTATGGACGTGGGTCTAGAGGTGAGAACATTGGAAGATGCTCCCATACCCACAGCTGTAGGATAAACATCGCAGCACCAGCTTGTTTTGCTCCCACCTTCGAGCAAGTGCACAGCTCCTGGTATAGGCCAGCTAACACGACCGATCCCCAACTCTTTTCCCCAATTGCGTCCCAGTCACAGTGAGCAATAGCAACCATATGCCTTGAATCCACCAGTTTGACTTGTCGGGGAACAGAAATCCACCCACCAAACCAATGAGGTAGATGCGTGCATAGCGCTCCACTTGATCTTCCGGAGTCTCGTCATTGATTTCCACCTCATTCTGGATGTGAGTTACCAGCCACGGGATCGACACTTGTCCCGCATTCAACGGTGGATGCCCCCATCCTTGAATTGGTGTGGTGGTCGGCATGTCAAATCTCAATTCCCTAAGAATGAGCGGCCCCCAACCTCCTTCGGGTTTGGTAGTGGAACCAATGATGGCATCTCCAGAAATCGGCAGCCCGCTGAGGATCGCCACGTCTTTGAGGGTGATCGTCATTTCCCCCTCCGCAAGGTGGAACGTATGGGTTTCGGGACGCCATCGCTCCGCCATTGCCGTAAGCAGATCGTTGTCGATTTCGATCCGCATGAAATGGCGCAACATATCCAACCCGGTCCTCTCTATATAGGGCGACAACCGTGGATGCCAAGCGGGCAAGTTTGTGGTCCCTTTATGAACGACGGGAATAAGTGATTCCTTCAAAAAAATAGGAAAAACATCCATTTGTTAGTTTAAATAAAGCAAAATTAAACCTTAGAAAATAATAAAATAAAGCAAATAAATCATCAAATAACCGGATTGTTATCCCAAATAGCAAGGGAGCGATGAGCTTCTTGATCGGTTAAGAGACTCATATCTCTTGGCCCATAATGGATATACAATCGAGGATCGTATATCTCGGCACCCATATATAAAAAAAGTAACGACATCAGAGATTGTTTTGATAAAAAAATAATCAAAAAATCAAATTGTTTCGATTAAAAATAAAAACACAAAAAAAACCTACACGAAGAGCCTCTTCGTCCATTTTCTGGCAGAAGCCAGACAGAGGTTCGACGGGTTCGGATTTGTAAGGGACGGGAGCTTAGCGGGACGGGGGCTTTAGGGTCAAACTCTAGTAATTCTTTCTGATGTGGAAGATCGGACCTAGCCGCAACCACAGAGCATACTTAGAACGAGACTAGAGCGGATAAATTGAGGGAGAAAGAAGTGAAATTGTTGTGGTGTGAGTTGTAAGTGGTGGGGGGGGGGAGGTCTATTTATAGTTGGGGGAAGGGGTGGAAGGGATCTGCCGAGCATTAAGTTGGGAGCATTCACCGCGTCCCTCAAAGGCGGCGAATGCATCGCCCTTCCCAAAAACAGTCCCAGACTGTGACGTGGCGTGCTATGAGGTGTCGGATCTGGGAAGAAAACCACGA